CTGGTCTAAGCAATACTACTGGGGGAACTAAGATATTTATGAGATTACTTTTTGTTGTTGAGTTGGGATTTGGGAATCATATTATTCCTTTTTTCCTGTGCCAAAGGACTTTTATCTCTGTACACTACTCCGTCCAGTCTAAAATAAATGATTTTTTGGATGTTTTCATACAGTTTAAGAAATTCATCTTTTAGCATTAATTAGCATTGAAATTGATCATATTAACCTTTACTATCTCACATAAACACTCCTAACACATACCCCAACACTATTTACTCCAAGGACAATGTAGGAAAAAAATAATTAATTCATTCTTGAAATATGGAAAAATTATTTATTTTGGACCACAAAAAAAAAGGCCAAAAAATCATTTATTTTGTACCGGAGGGAGTACTAACGTGTAAATATCTTGTAGACTACATTAAGTAACTTTAAAAATAAATATAAATTTTATTCATAAAAAATGAACTTAGTATCTTGAAAAATAGAGTAATTAATTTTTTTTTTTTTTGGTGTTGAGAATTAACCAAACTGTCACACAGAATTTCCAGCAACTTCTTATTTAATTAAGCTATAGCTATATTTTCTCTATCTTCAATCCACGAAGGCATTATTCTAATTAGTTTCGATTTCAAAATTATCGACTTACCACCATTTTCAGCGAGATAATGACTACGAAAACATCTCTTATTATTATTTGAGCAAATGGATAGGTGGAATTCTGACTCTTTCTTTTGTCAATTCAAAAGGAAAGAGAAAGAACAGAAAGGAAAAACAAAAAATAATGCTCTTTGCCTCTTTCCATTTGGCCAAGTGGCACTAGTAGTCATGAGCACTTCCTAAAATCGAATCAAAGGACCACTTCAATTATGAGTTTACTTAGATCTAAAGAATAATTGGACATATATACCGACCTTTTCTTTTTTGACAACTTTAGTCGTATAATAATTTATATTTAAAATATTGGTATGCATTTATATTTAAAAGCTATTGAACTTTTACCCTTTTTTTCTTTTCCTTATTGGCATGAGAAGTGGTATCACTCTTGTAATCCATCTGATACATCATCAAGCAATTTGATACCAATATTGATTTTGATATCTTATGTATATTTGACTTATGTGTTAAATTTCTTTTTACAATTAGAACATTACCAAATAAATTGATAGTAGAGTTATTAAGTTGCAGTTTTAGGGTCGTTTTGTTGAAAACAAATTATCGCATGATTAATTATTCCAAGATTATTTATTCCGGAATTAATTATCTCACCCTCTCATGGGGATAATAAAATACTACAATTTCGGAATAATTAATTTCGAGATTACTTATACCATATTTTTATCCCAACCAAACGTAAAAATTGCACGGGGCGCCCTATTTGGTCGCCCCCATTTAACCTATACCCATATTTTTAAAATCATTTAACATATGCCCTAATTTTTACAACTTCAGGCGCCTCCTTCTTCCTGCTACCCGTGCGCTCCTTTGTTCCTCATTTCTTTTCCTCCTCCTCCTCCTCTTCTTCTTCTTCTTCTTCTTTTCTCTCTCAAACACATGAGACTCTTTGCAAGTATTATTGATTGAATATGAAATACACAGTGATTTAGCACTAGGGTATGAATTTTGCATTAAGTACATCTGAAATTTCATTCACCCAAAAAAGAATTAAAGATGGTTCTTCTTAATGCCGAATTTTCTGATAATTCCATTATAGCAAATGGATCTTAATGACAACTCGTCATTGTTGTTTTAGAACTTCAGTTTTAAGAATGCTGAATTCAGCAAATATAAACAAAAACTTCAACTCCTAGAATGCCGAAGTTCAGCAAATACAAGTCAGCCCTGAAGTTCATCACAAACATAACAAAGCTTCAGCTAAAACATGCTGAAGTTCAGCAAATATAGAACACAACTTCAGCTAAAACATGCTGAAGTTCAACAAATAGAGAACAAAACTTCAGCTAGTAGAATGCTTAAGTTCAGCAATTACAAACAAAAACTTCAGCCAACACTTGGTTCAGCAATATTTGGTATTTCAGGCCCGTCTACTAGAATGCTGAAGTTTGCGTGATTGCCTTTGCTACTGTAGACATCGAAATTTTAATGGATCAAGCTAAATCCTAAATTCAAGATACTACAAGACCTCTTGAAACTCTAGGAGTCTGTCAGTGTTGCTTGGAGGCTACTCTACCAAAACCCTAGGTCACTCCTATAAAAAGGGTTTCATAATCCTTTAAAAAACATCTCAAAAATGGAGATCATCTCAGCAATTCCATAAAATCTAGAATATGCACAAAGGAATCAAATATACAATCTCCGAAATTCCATAAAACTCTTGGAATATTAATTAAGAGATCAAAGACATGTCAAGTAGTCTTGCTCAAAGTTCTAGCAACATTCAAGATCCAAATGGAGTGCTACTACATGCTTCTTGATAATCAAATACATCAAGGAGATGCATATTATCCAACGTTCGAGAAACATGCCGCTAAGGCCCTCGAATTACGGATAACAATTCGGAGGAAGAATCAAGGGAACAAACAGAATTGTACCCGCATCATTTTATCAATAAAATTACGTTTCTTCATATTTATATTGTGGTTGCAATTTATTTTTGTATCACATATAATTTGTTGCAAACAGCTACTTCAGGCCCGTATGCCTGAAGTTACGCGAAAAACTTCAGCTAAAACATGCTGAAGTTCAGCAAATAGAGAACAAAACTTCAGCTACTAGAATGCTTAAGTTCAGCAATTACAAACAAAAACTTCAGCCAACACTTGGTTCAGCAATTTTTGCTACTTCAGGTCCCTCTACTAGAGTGCTGGAGTTTGCGTGATTGCCTTTGCTACTTCAGGGCCGTACGCCTGAAGTTACACGAAAAGTCGGTACGCTTGTAATTTTTTTTTGCAAAGCGGGTATAAGTTAAAACGTGATCCAAAAAGCGGGCATAGATGCAAATGCCTCCAACCAAATGTGGGATAAACTCATCTCAAATATAATTACGGGATTAACTATTTCTTATCCTCGTACCAAACGTGCCCTTAGTTATTATCGTAAATAAGCATTGGTAATCTTGCGAAGATCTTGCCTTAATTGTGCCGAAACATCTTCCAACAGCTGTTCACTTATATTGGTGGTTAAGAAAGTTTATGGGTGCTTTAATTGAGACAATTCTCTCTCCTCTATACATTTTTTGTTTCATTACGTTATGTTATTACCTAAATCGAATAAATATCTTTTATTTTCAACAACTTTATTTTTGCCTTGGAACAATAATAAAATTGCCTTTATGTGACCTATGGGTCACGAGTTCGAACCATGAAAGCAGCCACTAATACTTGCATAAGGTAGGCGATGCGTCCTTCCTGCATGAATGCAAAATGCTTTGTGCACTGGAGTGTCTTTTTTCCCCCTTTAACAACTTTAACGCACTTATCAATTTAATTTGATAACTTAACTAGTGATAGCTCAAATTAGAATGGCCACTTCTTTAATGGCATATATATGTACTCCCCCCGTCTCATATATCTGTCGTGGTTATTAAAATTAGTTGTCTCAAATTATTTGTCATTTTAAAAGTTCAAGACAAAGTTAATTATATTTTTTCTTTTTTACCCTTAATAATCAATTGCATTCACATTTAGTAAAAATATGGATAATGTCATTCATTGAGATGACACATAAATTGAAAAAACATTTAATAAGAGTAAAATAGTCAAAAATTATTCTTTATTAAAGAGCGTGCATAAGAGAATCACGACACATAGGGGTGTTCATAAAAACCCGAAAAACCGAACAAACCGAAAACCAAACCAAACCAAATCGACCAAAAAAATCGATACTTTTTGATTTGGTTTAGTTTGGTTTTGGTTTTGAATTTTAAAAACCGATCGAATTTGGTTTGGTTTTGGTTTTAATCAGAAAAAAACTGAAAAAACCGAACCAAACCAATTATAGGAACTATTTCTAATTTATTATTACACCTATATATATGTATATTTTTATACAAAGTTTTAAAAATTTAATGGTAAATATTAATAGTTTGCACTTTTAGTATAGTTCTTTACCTTTACATTCTAGTTTGATTGGTAGTTTTCTTTTGTTAAGTGTAAGAATCCATTTCGTGTTAAAAATAATATATTTTTAATTGAGTCCTTAAATTGTTCATCACTATTTGATTCAATTATCATCAATTTCTCAAAGGGCAATTGATTTGTTAGTGTTACGTTGAAAATGTAGTCGCCGGAATATGTGTTTGAGAGCGTGTGTCTTATATTTAAGAAAAAACCGACAAATAACCGAAAAAACGGAAAAACCGACAAAACCCGACATAAACCGAATCGAGAAAAAACCGACTTAATTGGTTTGGTTTGGTTCTAATATTTGGAAAACCGACTTAATTGGTTTGGTTTCTTTTTATGGAAAAATCGATCCAAACCGAACCATAAATATCCAAGCGATACATATTATTAGACGGAGGGAGTAGTATACTAGATAAGAATAACAAAATATAAATTTCTGCTTTACCGCCACGTCTCACGGTCTTATGATTTTAACATATCACGCTAACATTCATGATATTATTAATCAAATCCCATTTCGATGTCACAACCATTGTTAGCCACAAGAATTCTTCATTAAATTAATCTCCACGAACGTTCCTTATTTATTTTAGTACCCCATTAAATTATCTTAATTGAATTAATCTTCCTTATCCCTAATCTCACAGTCCCTCCAGCAAACAAAAAAAAAAAAAAACAAAATGTTTTTTATTTTTATTTTAAATAAGTCACTTATTATACAGCTCAATACCGTTGCAATTTCCACGACTCCAGATAGTGGTCGTTACTCGTTAACCCATTCCTCTTTTTCCTTCTTTCTTCTTCTTCTTCTTCACTTCAATTCAAAGCTCTTTTTTCTAACTTTTCACTAAAATAAAACTTTTCAACTAATTTTCTTCTACTTTTTTTGGCTCTAACACTTTTTATTCTCCATAGCCTTTTTCCTTTGAATCTCCCAAAATATAAGAAAAAAAATGAAACTCCGCTCAAGGCAACATCATCAAACTCAGGTACTTACAAATTTCTTCCTTATTTTTTTTCCGTTTTTTGGTTTCCGTAATTCACTGATGAAGAATTGCAGAGAAGTTGGGCTGAAATATTGTGTTTCGGTTGCACGTGCCTACAGCTTTTTTGGCCGCGAGTGGTGATGCGCAAGTGGCTCCATATTAGTGCTAAGGATTCCGATTATAGTGCTGACCCTGACTCTGATTCCGGCTCCGGTTCCGATTCTGAACAAGGTTAGTTTCGTCTTTTTCTTCTTAATCATTTTTTATGTGTATTATTGTGTTGTACTTTGTTCAATTTGATCTCTTCTCTTTGTAAGAAGTTGAATTCTTAGATTTGCTAATTCTGCTGTGTGGTTTTGTGTAGTAGAAATCTGTGACTGGCCGAGGCAGTCGCGGTTGAACGATGCCAAAGGCAGCCAAGTTGATATCAACGGTATGAGAATTGTTTGTTGCTCAATTTAGTTCCAATTATATCCAAAATGTTCTATTTTCTGAGTTGGTAGGTTTTTCGGCAGCTTCGTATGATAGGCACTTTTTTGGTGATTTTCTAGTTGGAAGGGATTGAGTCCTTATTGATTTTCAGTGTAGACTGGGACATGGATTTCTTTTCAATGTAAAATGTACATGTATTAGTCTCACTTTTTAATAGGTTAAAAGGCACCCCGTACACTAAGCTCCTCCTATTCGCGGAGTCCGGGGAAGGCCGGACCACAAGGGTCTATTCTAATAGGTACTAATATGTAAAAGTATATGAAATAATTTTAGTGAAAAGGAGTTCTTTTTCTTTAAAAACTTTTTATACTTAAGGGGAGGAGAAGGGGAAATGGGGAGGAAATTATAAGGTGGGGAATCAAATCTTCATCGACAAGGTGAAAGTTTAGGTAGCCAACTAACTGGACTACTAAGATTCCCGAAAAAAGAGTTATGTTTGATTTGCAGATGGTAAATGTTTCACATAGGATGGGACAAAGGGAGTACTAATTAAGATTTTATAAAGGATCTTATTGGTGCAAGTGTTCTGAATTTGATGTTTAAGGGAAATGGTAAAATAGAAGGATGCCGAAAATACGATGTAATGGCTTGTTGAATATTCACATTTACATGCAAAGAATCAAGGTTTAAACTTTTTAAAATTGTTATTCATGAATCTGGATTCTTTGGTACGACGTCTTGAATGTTACCATTATTCTCTTATCTAATTACTTCAATCCTACTTTTACTTGGTTATATTGTTTTTTATCTCTTGTGTCTCAGATGCTCTTCCCAGGATAAGAAGACGAAAGTCAGAAACATTTAGGGCACAGTACATTAACACGAAGGAAATTAAGTATGCATCTTTTGCTTTAATTAATTGCTCCAAAAAATACGGTTTACATATTTGGCTTGTAGCATTATACTTGTTTAGCCAGTAAACTTAACCGAGTTTGTTGCTTCAAGGGTATGTGTTGGCACATGGAATGTTGCTGGAAGATTTCCTTCAGAAGATCTTGAACTTGATAGCTGGTTGGATGTTAATGAGCCTGCTGACATCTATGTGATTGGGTACATATCTCTCTTTGTATGTGACGTCCAAAAGTGCAATTTATGCATAAAGAGTGTTGTACATTGCTCTTCACACAACATATGTAGTGCACAATCGAGCAGAATGATTTTTACACTGGCATGTCACCAGCCACTGCTTTCTTGTTTTTCTTTCTTGGTTTTGGGGGGGGGGGGGGAGGGGGGGGGGTAGGGGGGGGGGAGGAGGAGGAAGGTAGTAACCACTCTCTGTTGATGTCGAAAGTTAAGGAGATGCTATTAAATTTTTGGTCTAAACCGCTTCACACGGTTCATGTATTTTACCAATGATATTAAATGTTAAATCTGCTGTCCAGTTCTATAGCTAATTTCCTCTCCATTAAATTTTGAACTTTTACCTACTGTCAGGTTCATGATTTCATTGAGGATGCATGTCCCTTTAGATGCTAAAATCCAATCTCATGTACACCCATGCATCACTCAGAGTCTCAGACATCAGAAGTTAATTTGATATTTTAGTGTTTTGTTAGGCTTCTCAGTTATATTAACAACCCCTATTTGCATAAACAGATTTCAGGAAATTATACCATTAAATGCTGGAAATATCTTTGGTGCTGAAGATAGCCGCCCCATTTCAGTTTGGGAGGACATCATTCGTGAAACTCTGAATAAAGTCCCACCAGTGAGTAAGTTTAAATCCTTTAGTGATCCTCCTTCACCATCAAGGTTTAAGCCATCTGAAGACGCCCCTGATATAGAAGAAGAAATTGCCTTTGAATCTGACAGTGGTAGCGAGGAGGAAATTTTTCCAATAAATGAAGAGTCCAGTGACTTTGTTGAAATCAAGGATGGACGAGTCACCAGGGATGGTACCATTGTGAAAAATGATGTAGGTGTGAACAAAACTTGGAGTTTGAACCCAATCAATGAGGAGTTTGAAAGGCAATTTTCTTCTCCAAGGAGGCTAGACAGGCTATATTGCTTTAAACCAGATGAGAATGAAGAAGAAGAAGCAGGAGAATCAAATGCTCAGTTTGCAAAAAAATTGACAAAAACAATGAGTGGGACAGAGAGAATTGGTCTTTGCTGGCCAGAGCGACCATTGGATCTTTTGGGCCAGCATGTTTCAGAAAGACCTGGTTCCTTTAAATCTACAAAATCATTCAAAGCTTCTAAATCCTTTAAAACTTACAGTTCTTTTAAGTTGAATGCTAATGGTCCAAATAGAACACAAGCAGATGCAACTCTACTCGCGGAACTAGACCTTGAAGCTTTGATAAATCGGAAAAGAAAACCATCTTATGTGAGGATTGTGAGCAAGCAAATGGTTGGAGTTTTTCTTAGCGTATGGGTTCGTAGGAGCCTACGAAAGCATATACAGAATTTGAATGTGGATACAGTTGGTGTTGGTGTAATGGGCTTCATAGGTAACAAGGTTTGTTCTTCAAAACTTTCAGCTTTTGGTGGATTGCTTTTGAAAGCTATTTGAAAGAAATGACATAATTCAGACTTCAATTTTAATAGTTGGAAGTGCAAGAAACATCCCTATCAGTTTTTATTGCTATATGTTGCCTGCATTTCAAAGTTTTGTCAATAGACGGAAAAGCACATCTAAATGATCAAGGGATTAGAATTTCAACAGCTGCTTGGGATAATCATAATGTCATGGATGTTACTGGTGGTCGTTTCCTGTCAAACGTATCTATTAATCATTGAAGGACATTAGCATTATATTATATTGCATAAACAACAATTGCTGCAGATTTTTGAAATTTTAATGATGCCCTATGCACAATCTATGTCTAGTTTCTTCCATTATTTGTTTCCTTCGCACCAAGATGATCTTAGGTAGGAAATAATTTAAATGAAATCCTATAGTTGGACCATATCATTACATTTCACACAGTTATCAAACAGATAGAAGGCCACTTGACTCCTGATTTAACAGCTGTCAATAAGTTATCTGTGTGCTGAGGGTGATTCTATATTTTGGAATTGCAATGGACTCCTATAACCTTGTGAGCATTATATACAGTATTTACCATTCGAATAGGATAATCTTTGCAAATACAACTTTGTTTTTCCATGCATAACTCAGTTTACCTTTTAAAGATATAGGTCAAACTTTTCGGTGGACGAAATAGAAAATGTGGTCTAACTTAAAGGAGGGAAAGAGGAACATCAACTCTTTATTCAACTTGTAACAAACTACACTGGACAGAAATAATCCAGACCTTACGTGAAAGTTGGTTACTTTCAGTTTTGTGATGAAATTGCAGTACTTAGCATGTTTTCCCTGCATGCTCGTCTTTAAAATAAAATATGGATAATTTCATGTGCTTTACAATTTGCTTCTACGCTTTTTGATGACACTATTAGACACTAATCCTAATATGGTAGATTCTATTGAAAACTCATCAGAATTTCATTTTCTTAAATGGAAAAATACATTTATTTTATTGTATTTCATTGCTAACTCTTTTCTTCTTTTTTTCTTTCTTTTTTCCTGATAAGTATAACTTTTCAAAGAAATGACCAGCAGGAAATTGTATATTGCTCATCTCTTACTCTTTTCTTCAGGGATCAGTATCTGTGAGCATGTCTATATATCAGACTTTCTTTTGCTTTATATGTACTCACCTAACATCGGGTGAGAAGGAGGCAGATGCAGTCAAAAGAAACACTGATGTCCATGAAATTCATCGACGAACACATTTCAATGCATTCTCTAGGATCGGACTTCCTAAGAGCATCCATGATCATGAGTGAGTGTATTTGCCTATTAAGCAAACATTTCTGTTATATCTACAAACTATAAGATTTCTTTCTCTTTTATCAACCATGGATATTGCCCCCTCCATCAAGTTTGATTTAGTAAGTGTATTTGCATTTGTTTTCTCTGTTTGTGACTTTCATCGGGGACAGTTCTAGGGAGAGTTCTCAAGGAAAACAATATTTTGGTCGATGTTGCAATTCTCCTTCTCTTTATAAATTAAATTGGAAAGTCGGTGGCTGGAACACAATTAAACAGAATAGAAGTATGCCCGACATCCCTGTGTTACAGTAGTCCCACTCAAGCCACGTATTGAACAGCTTATTGAAAAGATAGAGAAAGCCACGTACTGAAGAATTTAGCTCATAATAGTGAAAAGAGGTCTCAGTGATCCTGGTTACTTGGAAAGGTTATTGTTTATTGGAGGCATGGGGAAGGAAAAGATTTTTAAATCCTGGAATAATTTATGTTTCCATCTCATCCACTAGCTGCCCCTGGTTCAGTGGTGCCCTAATGCTATATGGTGCACCTAGTCTTATCCTCATAGATCTAACTCATTGTTCAATCTGGCAAACCCTTCATGGGTAGGGACACTATTGCTGAGATAATGACTTCTATACGGAATGCTGATATGGATCAAAAAAGGGTGGTTCGAATAGCATCTACTAATATTACCAAAAATATTGTTCAAATACTTTTACGAGAAGGTTTTATCAAAAACGTGAGAAAACATCAAATATTTTTGGTTTTAACCTGGCGACATAGAAGGAATAGGAAAAGACCCTATAGAAATATTTTACATTTAAAACGAATCAGTCGACCTGGTCTATGAATCTATTCTAATTATCAATACAATTATGCTTCCTTTACACTTGGATGCTGCCTTGCAGCTTCTACGCCAGCAAACATGTACAAAAAGCTTTCACCATACTTTTTGGAACATCATGTGTTTGATAAACTGTTTACTCCATCCTTGTGTATTTTATTCAGGATCAGATCTGAATAGCCTGATATTCCTTTGCAATTCTCGTGCAATAGTATAAACTCTCTGGTGCTGATTATGTTTGTGTAGCCTATGCCTTCACACTTCTTGCAGCTTGTGACTGGAATCTGTTGATAGCAGTTGAGGTTTTATTGACCTTTATTCATCTAAAACTAAATTCAAGTTTCCATGTACTGACCTTTGCTAATTATCAGAACATTACTGCTTTTCGCGTACTGTCCTTCTGATGTTCTAGACTTTAGTCTCATCTCATTCCTGAAAGATTCAGATTAATGACAAGTTTATACACTTGCAGGCGAATAATCTGGCTGGGAGATCTAAATAATCGTATTAATTTGTCGTATGAGAGAACAAGGGAGCTGATATCAAAAAAGGACTGGTGTCAGTTAATTGACCTTTATTCATCTAAAACTAAATTCAAGTTTCCATGTACTGACCTTTGCTAATTATCAGAACATTACTGCTTTTCGCGTACTGTCCTTCTGATGTTCTAGACTTTAGTCTCATCTCATTCCTGCAAGATTCAGATTAATGACAAGTTTATACACTTGCAGGCGAATAATCTGGCTGGGAGATCTAAATTATCGTATTAATTTGTCGTATGAGAGAACAAGGGAGCTGATATCAAAAAAGGACTGGTGTCAGTTAATTGAGAGAGATCAGGTAAATGTGGATACTCTTAACCACAAACGCTTGCTTTTTCACTGATTGTTGATTGGATTTCTGATCAGTCAATGTTCCTGGTTGACTGATAGGCTACTCACACACTTGCAGTCTCACCTTCTTATACTCCATTTAGTGTCAGTTTGAGAAGTCGCAACCTGTTGATGTTTTTTGTGTGGATGACTGCATGATTTCTGCAGAAAATGTTTTATTCTTGATCTTTACCTTCCATGGACATTGCATATGATCTTCCAGTCCCCCATTCCACCCCAAAAAGTAACTTCTCTCGTGTTGTGCTTGTGTATCTCCAATGAGATGTTTTGGGCAACAGACATCTACTTTAATCTCCGCAGCTAGTGACTTATGATTTGCATTTGATGAACTGTTCTTAATGATGATAAAATAGAGAGAAAGAAGAAGGCATGCATTATTACAAGTACGTAGTTTAATTAGTTATCACTGTTAACAATCCTTTTTAGAGCATGGCTGAAATGGCAATGTACTAATGTCCATGAGAAAATTAAATATGAGCCGACCTTTATACGTGTTTGAATTGATTTGAAATTGAGACTATAAGCAATTTTACATTGTGATGATAACATACATCTTCCTATTTTTGCAGCTCAGCAAAGAGTTCAAGAAAGGTCGTGCATTTGATGGGTGGTCTGAAGGTACTTTAAACTTTCCGCCGACTTATAAATATGAAGTAAACTCAGAGAAGTATTGCGGAGAGGATCCAAAGGCCGGGAGACGTAATCCAGCATGGTATGCATCTACTAATATTGTTAGTTCAAGAGCTTTATTGGCTGTTCACTTCGATTAGTGTTTGATTGTGTCAATTCTTAAAGTTTCGGCTTAATTGTAATCTATGATGCCCTGCAGATCAATATATTTATGCTGCTATTGACAAAAGGAAGAAATAATTCACCTTATATCTATATTTACCCTGCGGCACTAGCATATTCGTGCAATACTGTCATCAATATATGTCTCGTGGTATGAGAATACCACATAATTGCATTTCTCACCATAACTTGTATATGTACCCTAAATGAAATTTATGGAACAGCTGCCAAGGAAACATTTAAAGGTGTTTGAAGAGTCCCAACTTTTTGGAGAGGGGGGAAATTGGTCAATAAGTGTGTGAGGAAAATAGTCAAATGCTAGCACCTTGGTATTTAACTAAAGCTTGACCTTGCTAAATTGAAGTTTGCACAACACCAACTGCAATCCCTTGCTTATGCGTAATAAGCCTGTCATCCTAATGTCCATCTTCTGTTATCTCTAAGTGATGCCCATCCTTCAACCATCAGGTTCTCTCATCAGATTGGCAATTCATATGACGTGGATCAGTAACTCAAGATTAAGCAAGCTATTTCGAGCTATTTTAGTTTTTCTCTATTTAAGATCATGCACACTGAAAATTTCAACTTCCCAATTCTTTTACAACCAATACTATGCAGTTGCAATATTTTAATATTTCTTGTTTTTCAGGTGTGATCGAATTCTATCATTCGGGAAGGGGATAAGGCTACTGAGTTACTGGAGATCTGAACTTAGGTTTTCAGATCATCGACCTGTCTCTGCCACATATATGGTAGAGGTTGAGGTATTTAGCCCGAGGAAGTTGCAACGGGCCCTCACTTTTACTGATGCTGAAATTGAAAAGGAGGAAATGGTTACAGATATGGGAAGAGAGAGTGGAATGAGTAGATTCATTTTAGAGCAGGTTAGTTTGCGACTTATATGTTTTAATTTTCAAAAGCATAAAGCCGTGTGTGTGTTTCGAATAAATCTTGTCCCTGAAGCAGATATATATAGGGTCAGTGGACACTATAAACAAAGAAGTCATTTCTATAAGTTATAGTCCCCTAACTTTGTACAAGTATTTAACTTTGCAGTGTTGAGGGTTTGAAATTATACGAGATGGCTATCTTGGTTAAATGAAATTTTTGCCATCTAAGCTTCCCCAACTAATTTAAGATTGAAGTATATAGTTGATTGGCTGATAGGAGGCAATGTCACCATGTGATTTTAGAACTTCCGGAGTTGTCAAACTAGAAAGAGAAAATGGTATAGAGAAAATGCTACAAATTATGGATGCAGTATGATGACTTTACAGAAAACTATTATCAATCCTGACGTTATTTGATTTTGGTGTTTAGTCACAATATTTTATTTTTGGTATCACAAATTTATCTGATAAGAGTTCTTTTTTCTTTTCTGGCATAGAGGTATAACCTATGATGGTATGAGTTTTGTGATATTTTTGGAAAGTTGATTGATGCTACATACGAAAAATATGACAAACTCCAAAGACAATGGATGTCCAAAATTTACAGTTGCCAATATCATCTATAATTTCCCTTAGTGATTCTTTCTCTCAAGTTTTTCATTTGTTTACATAAATCTAATAACTCAGGCTTGTAGAATCAGATATTGCATAATTGAGATATCAGTGGTAGATATGCGCGTCTTCCAAAAGTGAAATAAATCATAAGAAAAAAATCTTAGACTTTGACTTGCAAGTACAAAGAAATAGAATTTTAGCTGAGTAATACAGAATGTGTGATGCATCAGTAAGTAGCTTGGTGATACGAAAGGACTATATACACGGTACATTCAATAGAAATCAAGAAAGCAAGCTGTGATCCTAAGTTCTTTATTTAATCATATTTTCTTTGGGAACATCAATGTTGACAAATATATTGTATTTGATGGTTGCCAGTGAAAGCTTATGATGAAATTGCTAGGGATTCTAACATTTCTTTTTTGACGATAATCTTTTTTGCTGAAATAGGATGATTCTTATTGGATGCGCTAAAAAGGACATTTGAAGCGGCTGCAAGATAGATTATCCACGACTGGTGAATTTCCATGAGTAACGATTCTGCATATATTATTTTGATTTTTTATTCTTCACCTTTGAGGCTGTATATTGTGTTTAGGTGATGCATCTTTACTGTATATTATTGTTGTTCAGACTTCTAAGTCAGTGAGCCCATTTTTGTAGTCTTCCTTCTTTGTCTGGACTTTTCCAGCACGAATTTGTTAAGCAGTGTATAGCAAATTACCAATGTATGCAATAATGTCGCTCTCAGGTTTTCTGACAAATAACATTCTCTACAAACCGAAGCACAGTATTCTTCTCTATCTATTTATTATCAGATGTTTAAAATCTAGCAAAAATATAATCAAAATAGCACAGGCTAGCCATTTTTAGGACCGGTAATCAAAACATAGTCGGTGTTTGCGAATTCATCGAAAAATAGCCATTGTTTTGCTGAAACACGGAAAGTTCCGGCAGAATATGAGGGATTATGAAGCTTCTGCATATAAACTTCCAGTATATTATGTTGGAACTCCAGGACATGGAAAGTTCCAGCATAATATGCGAGATTATGGAGCTCTTGCATATAAACTTCTAGCATATTATAATGGAATTCCGGCACATTATAAAATTCCAGCATATTATGCTAGAAGATCATGTGTAAAAAATTCGAACTCTAGCATATTATGCGGGAATATTTTCGGATTTTTAACAGTATTTTTGTTCAGATTTTATCTTTACATGAAAAGTGGCTAAATTTCGAGTACTTTTGAAACTGTGGTTATTTTTCAATTATTAGTTGTAAATCTGGCTACTTTTGAATGTCGCACACAAAAAAAAAAAAAAAAAAAAAAATAGGACTGCTGTTCTGCAATTTAAGAATTGGCCAAAAAGAGTTACACTTTCCTACTACCGTGCACACTGCTACAGAAACTTTAATTTCTAGCTTCATGATGATATTCTATAAGTCTACAGAATTAGCTGTTGCAGTGGCAAAACTTGAAATCTTGTGGAGGCAATATAATTCTAGAGCACTATAAATTCTGCACATGGTTTGTGCATCGAGATAAGTCTACTCAAGGAATTAACAGTAACTATGTTTTGCTTGAAAGACAAAAAGGATGATTCAGAAACAAAAGAGAAAAAGAAGGGACGAAAACAAGTGGCTTTCTTGCTTCTTTCCTTGGTTCACACTCTCAAAGATAATAACAGTCACGGCAGGCAAGACATCACTTGACAGAGAGGTCGTACCTAATTTTGCACCCAAGCAAAGGCGGATCCAAAATTTAGGACTTTGCTTCCAACCAATGAGCTCATAACCTTGTTTGAGTTCTGGGTTCATAGTTAAATATTTTTTGCAATTCTATAGGATTTTACGGATACATGCTTAAATTAAAAGTTATAAGTTCAAATGAACCACATTTATATTACCACATTTGCACCTGCACCCAAGAGTGATCTTACGGCCCATGAAGCGGATGAAAATTATGAAAAATTAGAATATAGTCTCAGTAGAGACAAAAAGAATACTAGGTAATTTCTCCAATTTTCTAAGCAGAAAGTGCCCGATAAAATAGTTGAGGTGTGTGCAGGCTAGGATATCATCGGGAAAAAGGTGGTGTACATTATTTCTACACTGTTTATCAAACATCGAAGCAATGATGAACTGAATAACAGTCAAAAAATTATATCGGAACATTGCAACAGTCATACTTTTTTTATTGAACTATTATTCATTTAGAAAATTCTGGAACTCGAAGTCTTTGAATGATTATAAATGGCTCGGAATTCCCAACTATGTTGAATTGTCGATTGATAATGAAAAGAAGAGGACATGACTCGTTTACTTTTATTTCAGTAACAATCTTTAGGAAAGAGTTATCGAAAACCTATGTCTTTAGCTCTCTAAAACGCATGGCATACATAGCTAGAGGATTAATAACTAGCTTCGATTAACAACTCACTAACGGCTAGATTAATCATCAATGCTAATTATACTCCCTCCGGCCTAAAATAAGTAATTTTTTGGCCTTTTTTTTGTGGTCCAAAATAAGTGATTTTTCCAGATTTCATGAATTAATTATTTTTTTTCCTACATTGCCCTTGGAGTAAATAGTGTTGGAGTATGTGTTAGGAGTGTTTATATAAAGAGATAGTAAAGGTTGATATGGTCAATTTCATTGCTAATTAATGCTAAAAGGTGAATTTCTTAATCTGTGTGAAAACAGCTAAAAACCACTTATTTTGGACTGAAGGGAGTAATTAATATCCGAATCATCCTCTAATAAATTTATACTGGCTAGTTTAAAAATTAACTTCAAACTGGCTAGTTTGACCACATCAAGGTAACGGAAAAAATAAAATAATAGAACTAATTTTTGAAAATGTGAGTTGGATCAAGCCTTGCATATAGGGGTGGGGGTGGGGGCAAATCGACTTATTTTACGAGATTTTTACCTATCTATGCTGTATATGAATGATCATATACAATTTACCAATTATATATAAATTAGTTTTAAATGGGTATTCCTTGATTGTAGCCTTTTAATTTAGTAAATTCCTTTAAACCCTCACAATTCATTTCTTACCCAAACAAACCCCAATCGCAGTACTTTCTAAAAGATTTTCCTCTTTCTCTCTTTGAAATCAACCCTTGTTCTACACCGATTCTACAAGATTTTTCTTCTAAAGCCCATAATTTTCTCTAACAACTAACAATGGTGGAGAAAATGATTAATTTTGCCATGGCTGGAGTTTGGAGCTTTTCTGGGCTTTCTCTTTTCTTGTTGGCGTTTCGATGGCGGGCTAGTAGCAGATGGATATTAATTATTTGGCTCGATTGTTCGAATTAAAATTGTCAATCAATAAATTTTAAAGGTGTTTGACTCTCCACCATTGACAGCCATTAAAAAGATTCGAAACTTTAAATTCGAATTCTTTTAAAAAAAATATTTTTTGTTTGGATTGGGTGTTATTGTAAACGATTGAGAATATTCTATGGAATTTATATCTTGATTTTGAGGGTATTTGGTAAATATTAGAAGAAGAACACATGACATACAATATACATATAAAATTATATTAAAGGTGTATAATAATTGTATGAAATTTGTATAAAACTGTATTTGGTTGTATTTTATTTGTAGTTATATTTCTTGGAAATTAGTTATATACTGTATGAGTCATTGTATGAAATTTGTATTTAAGTTATAAATACTATCTTTTTACATAAAGTTGTTGATATGTATCAAAATTGTAATAAGAGAGGAAGTTTTGATTAGAATTTCAGAGAGGAAGAAGAACACACTACATACAAAATATATACAAATCATATACAAAATACATACAAAAGACATATTGTGTAAAATTTGTACGAAAATTATATTTAAGTTGTGATGTTTGTTGATATGTATCAAAATTGTATTAAGAGAGGAAGTTTTGATTAGAATTTCAGAGAGGAAGAAAAACACACCACATATAAAATATATACAAATCATATACAAAAGTAAAATTTGTATGAAAATTGTATTTAAGTTGTATGATGTTATAGTTGTATTTAACTGGGTAAGAATAATGTATCAAAGTTGTAGATAAGTCGTAAATAAGTTGTATACTGTATGATTAGTTGGATGAAATTTATTTTTAGTATGTATGTTGTAGATTTGTAAAATTTGTACGAAATTTATTTTTAATTTGTATGTTGTTGTACCATACATTATTCTTTTCTTACTCGATTTGTTAAAGAAAGAAAAGTAGAGAGTGAATTCCAAGTTGGCTCATGTACACTGATTCATGTTTGTTCAAACTGAAAAACTTGAATATTGTAGCAGCAATAGTAACAGATAATGGCAATCCATAAGTAACTGATAGATTGCACATGCTAAATTAACTATTAGAGTAAAGTTTTTATTTTTATTTTTTTGGAGTTGTGCTACAATATGTTGCTATTCTGATTCTTGATGATGGCCCTGAAGTTGGAAACGATGGAAGTGACGACATGTCATTGGCATAATGTCACGATCCCAATTTTTCTCCGTAGGATGTCGTGATGGCACCTAGTCTCTACGACTAGGTAAGCCTAATAGATAATGATAATAATAATAATAATAATAATAATAATAATAATAATAATAATAATAATAATAATAACTTGGCAGAAACAATTATCAAAATACTAAAACAACTGAATAACTGATATAACCTCTCGATACAAAACATAATCTCAATAATACGCTCCCCAAAACCGGTGGAACTGAGTTATAAGCTCTATAGAATAAAAACTAGGATAGCTACTGTATCACTGTCTGAAAGAACAACAACAGTAAATAGAATAAATGGGAAGGTGACTCCGAAGCTTGCGGACGTGGAGCATGTATACCTTGAAGTCTCCCAAGCAGCAACTCTATCAACTCTAGCGTCCGGCACGAGTAGACATACCTAGATCTGCACAAAAAGATATGCAGAAGCATAGTATGAGTACACCATAATGGTACCCAGTAAGTATCAAGTCTAACCTCAGTAGAGTAGTGACGAGTCCAGGTCAAGATACCTACTAAGAAATAAACAGTATACAATAAAATACAAATATAAAATGGGAGGTAAGAAATCAACTAATATGGAACAAGATAATAGCATGATCTAAAATCGGGAAAATCAACAGTAAAAATAGCATGAAAGGAACAACTAAAGTGATACAAAGATCATGTACAGACTACAACTACTAGAATGATAACGAATGGAGCAACAAGAAATATTCCTTCCACGACACTTGCAACATGAAATAACAACAATAACACAACGAGGTACCGCCTCGTGTACAATTAAATCAAATCGAGGTACTGCCTCGTATAATCAAGAATAACAATCAAGGTACCGCCTCGTGTTCACATTTCTCAAATTTAAATCACAATCCTTCCTTATGCCGCCGCGTGAACCTTACATTTGAAAAAAAGGTTTTAAAAATAGTTTTCTCGAAATAGCTACACGCACTTTATCCCACCTTATGACGCCACGTGGCTTTACGTAGTTCCCAAACAAGCAACATGCACATAAGTCCCAGCTTATACCGCCGTATGCACATCAACCCAAGCCTTATACCGCCGCATGCGTAGTATCATATCACAATAACAGCATCGCACCACAAGTGCCCGCATATCACAACTTGCCTACAATAATAATATCAATGTTTCCACAACAATAGCCCATGGCTCCAACATAACGTATACGAGAATATCAACAACACCAATGGATGGAAAATGCTCAATAGGATAGATATTTCAACAATAACCAACATCGCCTCAACGTATCAATAACTTCCACAA